TTTTTTTTCTGTATTTAGGACAGGGTCTACAGGATTTCACTATGTAGATCAACTCATAGTGATTCTCCTGTTTCAGCCTCCCAAGTGCTGAGATTACAGGCATGCAACACCAAGCCTAGTCTCAATCGCCATCTCAGCATGCCCCAGGGGCGGGGCCAGCAGGAGCACATCAGGGATAGAATCCCTGCTGCTGCGCTCTGCCTGAGCAGGTGGTTTAGTCTGCTGAGCTATTGGGCTGGCTCTATAGTGTTCTTCATTCCCATTTCTTTTTATAGTATGTTAAATTCTACTTTGGAAATCTCATATAAATCTCCAATCTAGATTTTTTTTTTCCCCCCTTTGTGCTTATAACTATATAGCCAAGAAGTTTCTGGTCTCTTTCAACAACTCAATTTATTTATTTATTTATTTACTTACTTACTTACGGAACCGGTGATTGAACCCAGACCCTTGTGCTTGTCAGGGAAGTACTTATTCTACTGAGCCATCTCCCCGGCCCCTCAACAACTCAATTTAAACTAAAATAGTCCATCTTGCATTAAAACATTTTAATAGTTTTCTGGCTTTAAGATGGATAATATAGATACACTTAAATATATGATATGTATATCATTTGTATATTTAGAGTGTATTAAACCTATGTTTATTAGAATTTATTCAGTAGCTCTGCTTGCAAAGGAGAGGGTATATGGATCATTAAAGGAATTCAAACTGTCAAGTAGAACACACAGAGCCATTGTAATCTGAACAGTGCTTTCTTTTTGGCTTTGGCTTCCTACCACTTTGCCACCTTGACTTTATTGAGCCTCCTGCCATTTCCCATGTGTACCACAGTAAGATAACATTCTTTAGTATCCTCTTACATGTATTACTCCTTTAGTGGGGATACCTCTTTCTCCTGTTTGCCTGGCCACATAGTATTCATTTTTCAGACTTAACTCAGGTGTCCTTTCAAGGAAGTTCAGATATCATCTTCTCAACCTTCCCCATAACCCGCCTCTCCATCTGCTAAGATACATGAAATAATAACAAAAAAAGTAGCTATTTTGTTGGCTTCAAAAATCCCAAAACTTAGCTTGGTGTCCTTGCACACACCTGTAATTCCAGCACCTATGAGGCTGAGGTAGGAGGAGTGCTGTGAGTTTGAGGCCAACCTGGGTTTCATAGTGAGTTCAGGACCAGCTTGAACTACATAGTAAGACCCTGCCCTGCCTCATAAGACCCTACCTCAGACAGATGAACAGAGAGACCAAGACCAAAATTTGATTTATCCTGGTATTTTTCACAGTTTTGTTCTTTCCTCCGTTTGCCCATTAAGTGTTACTGTAGCATAGCCTAACCTTTCCCTTCATCATCATGTCTGTTTTCCTCCAGCGATGATCTCAGTGGATCTTAAGGTTTTATCTCTTACCTAAAACTAATAATTGCTTAAACCTTCACTTACCCTTGGACTAGAATCATACATTCTGCTGCCTCCCAACTCTCCTCTGGGAAGTGAAAGGGCAGTTATTTCACACCTTCCTTTTTCTCATCCATCTCTAGAGTCTTTGTCCCTTAGTAGTTTTACTAGACTGTCTTAGCTCAGGTTCTCATGTTTTTAGTTTTTTGCCTGATTTAATGACAGCTTCTTAATTGACCTTTCTGCCCTTATTTTTCTATGTAGCTGAAGAGTAGTTACTTAAAATTCAGTCTGTGCATATCATTAAGCTTACATTTAAAAGCTGGTCACCTACTAAGGTGAAGTTCAGCTCTTTTACCCTGCATGTAAGTCTTTATCCTCACTGCACTCCCCCTTACCTCCTATTTGGTGCACAGATACGCACGGTACTCTTGCTACATTCATGGAATGGCACTCTCCTCCCTCTAAGGCTCATTCTACAACTGGACATGTGGCTCAGTGATAGAGAAAGAAAGATTTAGCTCAGATTGTATTTTTTTATTCCTTTGTATGTGCTCCTAAGATTCCCACAATCTCAGGCT